GGAGCATGAACAGTAGACCCTGATCCACAGGCAACAGCCAAGAGAGAGATTGGGGGGGGGAGGGAGAGAAAGGAAGAAGGGGAGGAAGCGAGGGAGAGGCAGATTGGGTACAGCATGAGCTTTTGAAACCTCACAGCCCACTCCAGTGCTACACCTCTTCCAACAAGGCCACACCCCCTCCAACAAGGCCACACCTCCTAACCCTCCCTCCCCCTCCCAGACAGTATAGGGACTTGGGACTAGTTATTCATATATGAGCCTACGGGACCAACCTCACTCGAACTAATTTACGTATTGTTTTGAGCTAAATACACTGAGCAGCAGTAGGTGCAAGAATGCACTCTGGCCCTGTTTCATCCTTCTGAAATAAGATAATGCTCCCATCCATGAAAGATGTCCTCTCCATACGGGGTGCAAGGAAACTGCCCAGCCTTTAACCCCAGCACTCAGTAGACAAATGCAGGAGGACCTCCATGTGTTCAAGGACAACCTGTTCCTCACAGAGAGGAATTCTCCCACACACATTTAAATGTCTACCAATGAGAAACAAGTTAAACACTGCCCTATCTTAGACATAAAATCGTGTATCAATAAGCATGCATGTCCAAATGGCCTTAAAAATAAAAATATGACCAGGCTTGGAGGTATTTGGGAGGCGCAGGCAAGAGAACCAGGAGTTTAAGGTCAGCCTAGGGCTGGAAGAGACTCCGTTCCTACATACATACATACATACATACGGAGATGGCTTTGTAGCCAAAAGTGTTTGTTCTGAGTTCAAAACCCCAATCTACTGGGTAGCAGCGGCATACACCTTTGACCCCAGCACTCTGACGCAGAGGCAGGAAGATCGCTGAGTTCCAGGCCAGCCTGGTCTACAGAGCAAGTTCCAGATAGCCCAGGCTATACAGAGAAACCTTGTCTCGAAAAACAAAAACAAACAAAAAACCAACAACACCCGTGTGAAAAGCAAGGACACCATCAATGCCTGTGACCGCAACACTGGGGACAGAGACAGGCAAATTCCAGAAGCTCACTGGCCTGGCTAAAACGTTGAGCTTCAGGCTCAGTGAGAGACTTTAGCTAAACAAGTAAACACCTGCCTCTCCTGGCCTCTGAGCATACACACACACCAATGAAGCTGGGGTGCACGGCTCACTGTCACAGCCGTTAACCTGGGTTCGATCCCCAGACCCAGGTTCACCCAGCAGCCCCAGGAAAAGAAAAACAAAGAGTTTTATTTCATTCTTCTTCCACCATGTGTCTAATTTTTCTAAAATAAACTATTTTAGTAGCAAAAAAAATGTATTTTTAGATCTTAACATTTTTTTTTTCAATTTTCATTAACAACTTAAGTACTCTGAGTCAACAGGCACAATGACCTACACCTAAGACTCCCGCTCACAGACACAAAGACTTCAAGTTCTAGGCCAGCCTGGTATGCCTGGCAGGACCCTGTCTAGATCGATCAATCAACCAATCAAGCAACAGATCCTCTGATCTCTTTTTTAAATTAAAGAGATAAAGCTTGAGGGGGACGGATTCCAAACACGCCAGGCAGGCAGACAGAGCACAGAGCGTGAGAAGTTTTGTTAGAGAGGGGAGGGGGAGGAAGAGAGAGAGAAGAGACACAGAGACAGAGGAGACAGAAGAGGGAGACAGGAAAAGTCCTGTCTGCCCCTGGGGGACACGGGAAAGAGCGTGGGGAAGAGAAGAGGCTGAAAGAGATCGTAAGTGGGTGGGGGTGGGGGGTCTGTCTTTTAAAGGGTGCTTTGCACCTGCGCGCAGACTGCGCAATCATGGACCCCTGGGCTGACCAGGGTCCTGCCTGAGTGCATTGTGCCAGGTGACAGGGGCAGGCCAGCATGGTGCCTGCGTCCTTACAATCTGTACAGCTGGTAGTCCGCCAGCTTAAATAAAGTTTGGGGGGAGTCCCACAGCCAACAATGAAAGCAGCAAATTAACCCCAAGAGCATAGAAATGAGCTTAGCCCTGCAGCAAAGGTCTCTTCGAAGGGATGGGGAGGGGGGTTGCTTTGTTCTTTGCTTTGTTGGATTATTCTGTTTAGAGAATCTGCTAAGAGGCCACAGCCACTCCTACCACTCAGCTTTTCCCCTTGGGACGAGGCAGGTTGTCACAAAAATAAAATAAATAAATAGATACATAGATAGATAGATAGATAGATAGATAGATAGATAGATGGATAAAAGCAGGAAGTGGAGGAAAACTAACAAAGATATCCATGCACACCATATGGAAAAGGAGGGTGCTGAGCAACAACCTGGGCAGCTTACTCCGGATGTCACGTGAGCAGAGACCCTTTGGGTTACCCATCCTTCTCTACACGTGCTTTACTTTTAAACTAAATGACACCCAGACATGCAGCTATCTCTAAGGTTAAATGGTTGGATAGTAACAACACATCGCTCCATTCTTCTTTCCCTGCTCTGTTCTCCTCCGGTTCTGAGCCCTGGCAACCGGTCCTCTCCCTTCAAAATACTATTTTATTGGCGCTAACACCATGCTCAAGAGATGGGTTACCACTGCTGCTGCTCTACAGCGCTGAGGCTCTCACTGACATAAGAGAGTGCAGGGCTGGCATATAAATATTTATTCAGCCCCATAAAAGGAGACAAGAGGGCTTTGTCTTCGCACGGGGCATGCTCCAGTTAGCAAGTGGCACAGCGGTGGTAGGTAGAACAGACCATACACATTGTTTCCTGTGCCCAGCTTACTGCCTACTGGAAAGACGGTATGCAACTGGAGGTCTTCTTTGAGAAACCCTTGCAATAGAAGGGAAGCATGGCACCCAAAGTCTAAACAGAATGTAGAAGAATAGTAGAACCTCCGCCACATACTACAAAGTATCAACCAACATGACAGAAATGTGTTTGTTAGCTTATGGGTCTGTTAAGTCTTTAGCCCCAGCACTTGGGAGACAGGTGGATGGATCTCTGTGAGTCCAAGGCCATCCTGGTCTTCAGAGCGAATTCCAGGACAGCCAAAGACAGAGAAATCCTGTCTAGGAAATAAATAAACAAACAAACAAACAAATAAACCCAAACAGTTTCTTATCTAGATTGAAATAGTTCTGGGAAGGGGGAAAAAAAAAAGATGTCCCAATTAGAGACACAATCGCAGTTCCCTACACACAGTTTGCTAGTGAACATCAGATTTAAAACTGCACATCTCATTCCCTGCCCTTCACAAGAAGCCAGGCCCAGGTGTCCCTGGGCAGTCTCCTTTGATACAGACCCCCTTGAATACCAGTTCAAACGCCCTTTACAGGTAAAGTCATCTGCCCCGCCCAACACAGCCTTGTCACAGAGCAAAGGGAGTGAGCAGGGAAGGAAGAGGGGGCAAGAGGCCCACATAGGAACAGACAGGCAGAGGTTGACAGCTGGAAGCAGCCACAGGGCATCAACAAGCCTTGCTGAGTAGGAACAAACGTCCCCTGGGGTCTGGCTGATGAGACAGGTAGGCGGCCTGTCCCAAAGGTATCAAGAAATCCTAGCAAGAATAACTGCCCTTCCCCAAGGATCTGGGGATCCCACACTCTCCACGCCTGCCCAAGTGAAAACTGTGTTAGCATGACAAGCGAGTATCTCACACACAGGAAACACTTGAACACTGTAAAGACTCGCTTTACAAGTCCTAGCATTAGGAGCTTTAAAGAGCACGCCCTATGAAACCACACAGAGTACATTAGCCTGCTGGAATGCTGCAGTGGCATCAGGGGCGCACTTGAAAAGAGCAAGCTGTTACCTAAAAACACCAGTTATGTTAACCATGGCAATGCAAAACCAGATTCATACACAAGCACTCACAACACACACACACACATATGTACCCAGACACAGTCTGCAGGAAAAGTCATACGGAAACAATGCTGGTTTTTAAAGGAGTCCCTGGGTTTTCTAATACAAACTTTCTAACTCATTGACCTACAAAGGATAAGTTAACCTTGTTAACTCAGCTCACCACACAGTCTCAAAGAGGGAACACAAGTTGTAACCCCCAGAAACCAAAAATCTAGATAGTATGTGTGCATGCGTATAGGTACATGAGTAACAAGTTTATGAACATAAAACATATTGTACGTAGGTTTATAAGCATACACAAAGTGAGTATGAAGTTGAAAGAAAGGTTGGGTTACTAGGTTTAAAAATTCTATCTTACAAATTATTAAATAAAATACAGCACAGGTAAAAATATGGTTTTGTTTACACTTTTAAAAACGCATGCTTGAAACTCATACCAAAGGCAAACACCAGCGGCAAACAAGCAGAAAACGAGGTGTTCTACCAGATTTCTAAACCCACTTCCTATTTGTATACCCTTGTAACCCAAATCAGTTTCAAAGCAGAGCTCTTCGGTGTAGGCAATATTCCCATTGAAAACCACAACCTACTCTGGCCACATCTCCATGATGATTCTATTCCGGGCAATTTCACTTGAGTAGCCGTCTTATACAAAAAAGAAATAACACCCAGAGCCATGGCGCACGAAACCAGGTTCCAAGCTAGGCGATTCACCTGGCTAGTAACATCCAGACCATGAAAGCTCCCTTCCCCCAACCAAACCCACAGGCAGCACTAGGACTCTACAGTTTGGGGAGCCCTAGTGTGGCGAATATCTACATCCGAACACGGTGGCCATGGGCTCAGGGGCCACCCAGAGAGCTAACTGGCAGGCAGGAAGTATTCTCAAGTCACGGTCCTATCTGAACGTCATCACTTCCAGGATCTGGCGGTGACCCTGAGGCCAGCGCGCCGCCCGAGTGGCCCTCCCCGCGCGCATCCCTAGCCCCTCCGCGGGCTCTCGCTCCCCTTCCCCTCCCCTGCACACCCGCGCACACTCGCTCGGGCACGCCGGAGCACACTAGCTCACACTCAACGCTCCAGCGACGCGGCCCCTTTGCCCGCTCGGCGCTCGCCAGTAGCTCCCAGGCTCGGCCACCGAAGCGCGTCAATCGGGGTCGCCGGGAGCCTGCCACCGCCTACCTTGCTCGCCGTGGTCCATGTCTGTGCCTCCTCGCTCCCGGCGCTCCGCCCGCCGCGCTCCTCCGCGCCGCTCCGCGCTCCGCGCTCCGCCCGCGGCCGCCGCGCAGTCCCCACCCCGGGCGTTGGCACCGCCCTCCCGGGAGCCGGTCCCGGGCGTCACCGACCACCTGACCGCGACCTGTGCGCACCGCCACGTCGGCGCGGGCGGCGGCGCTGGGCAGGAGCGCAGGAGGTCGGAAAAGGCCTGGGAGGGGCTGGGAAGGGAAAGGGACGCCGCTGCCGAGGCTGTGCAAGCAGCTGCCAGCCGGCGGTGTTTGCACTTCGCCCGCAAGTTTGCGACGCCCAAAGTTTCCTCCCAGGCTTCTGGCCTGGCCCCGGCCCCTTGCTCCGCCCTTGTGCACCTGCTCGAGCGGAAAACACAGTTTGCAAAGTCATTTGGGTGACTTACATTATTAGTGCTCTTGAGCCATAGCCAATCATGCTTGGTTCAGAATAAATTATTACCTTTGAAGTGATATACGTGTACATATATAAAAACATTATGGTAAATTTGACATGGAAGGAAATTATATAATATGAAAAAGACTAATTTGAACTGTATATGTCTGTGCAGATTTGGTGTTAAAAGTGTGGGAGTAGCATGTGCGAAGATGGTACATACATTTCAGACCAGCACGGACTATACAGCAAGCTGCAAAACCCCGTCTTATATTTGAATTATTCATTCATGTGTGTGATTTTTCTTGCTTCCCTCCCTGCTTGGGAACCCCGTGTCGCACAGGTGAAATATTGCCCAGGCAGGCCCTTGTAGCTGGAGACAGCTCTCCCAGGCATGAGGAAGGTTAGCTAGTTGGGACTCTGTGTGACACAAGCTGGAGTCACCAGAGAGGGAGGAGCCCCCGCTGAGATAATGCCTCCCTGAGATCCGGCTACAGGACATTTTCTCAGTCAGCGATCAAGGAGGGAGGGCCCAGTCCGCGGTGGGAGGCATCGTCCCTGGGCTCTTGGTCCTGGGTTCTATAGGAAAGCAAGCCAGCAAGCAGCGCCCCTCGGCGGCCTCTGCTTCGCTTGTGCCTCTGGGACCCTGCCCTATTTGAGTTCCTATCTGGACTTCCTTCAGTGATGAACAGCAATGCTGAAGTTAAAGCCAAACAAAACCTTTCCTCCCCATCTTGCTTTTTGGTCATGGTATTTCTCAGCAATAGGAACCGTAACTAATAAAGGCTCAAAGAAACTATTCAGACTAGAGAAAGGGGGGAGCAGAGATCCGTTCTTGGCTGCATGCAGGAGAAAAACAGAACTTTCAGCATTAGGGGAGCAGAAGGAGGAGCACAAGTCTGGAGCCAGCCTGGGCTAACGCAGGGCTACCATGAACGGGGCGGGGTGGGGTGGGGCTGTTATTTTCCCCTGTGCCTACAGGAGCAATGGGCATGGTGTAAATATGAGGATGTGGGTACTTCTATAAACTAAGCCATAGCTTAGTTTCTACAACAAACAGTAGATCCCCCCCCCAAAAAAACATCGTGTGAGAACTGAAGAGAATAGGAGAGAAGTTAAAGACCGCAGATATGGATGGCTCACGTGCATAGGAGGGGCTTTAGCACGCACAGGATCCTAGCTTTGTTCCCTGGCCCTGTCACCCAAACAATAAATAAAAGGGAACGTTATGCAAGTGTACTCTGTCCTTATCATACAACCTGAAAGCCATCAGAAATCATACAAACTACAGAGACATCTGGATGCCTTCTGCAGTGACACCCCTAAGGTTTGGGGCTGCCTCAGTAAGGGTTTCTATTGCCGTGAAGAGACACCACGACCAAAGCAACCCTTGAAAAGGAAAACATGTAATTGGGGCTGGCTTGCAGTGCGGAGGGTTAGTCCATCAGCACCATGGTGGGAAATGTGGCGTTGTCCAGGCAGACGTGGTGCTGGAGAAGGCGCTGAGACTTCTTTCTACATGATCTGTAGGCAGCAGAAGTAAGATGCCACACTGGGTATGGCTTCAGCACCTGAGACCCCAAAGCCCTCAGCTAGCCACCATTTCCTCCAACAAAGCCACGCCCACTCCAACAAGGCCCCACCTCCTAGTAGTGACGCCCTATTATATGAGCCTATGGGGGAGGGGCATTTTTATTCAAATCACTACAGGTACCAATAGTGGCCCTGGCTTTCTCTGTTGCTTTTTTTGTATCTGCCTCAGACCTCTTGACCACACTTCCAGCCCAGAGCAGCCATCAAAAAGCTTATCCTGGAAATGAGGTTTAAAAAAAAAAAAAAAAAAAAAACCGGGCAATGCATACAGGCCTGCCAAGGCAAAGGACTTAAGAGATGCATTCCTGCGGAGGGGTCACAGAGAGGTACAGGCATGAATAGGGACATCTGTTTGGTAATGAGGCCTCCTTAACCCAAAGAGACACCTGTAATCATTTCCTAAAGCCAGGGCCCAGGGTGTGCTCCCCCCCCCCAGTAGCCTGAACCTAGAGTTTCCAGTTAAAATAAACGGCATCGACTTCAACTTCAATTTCAAGTAAATAATAAGTTTGTGTGTTCATTGGTTTAAGTGTTGGTACGTCAGCCACAGTATCTGTGATATATTTTACTGAAAATATGTGTTCGTTACTCACCCCACATTTGTAGGCATCCTACGTTTTTATCTGCTAAGTGTGACAACCCTTAGGTCCCTCCTTACTTGCTGACTGGTCCATCGAGAAGCACGTCAGCAATTTTGGAAGTCTCCATCGTGCAGGAGGAAGACTGGCCTGCCTTGCTTGGACTGCTGAGAGGTTAAGAGGTCCAAGAAATCAAGATCAGCTCTGGAGCGAAGTCCGTTTTAAAGTCACATAGTTAACACTGAATTGCTTAAGACAACGTCATAGCTCTCTCAAACTGTGAGGAGGAAGAGGCTGAAATGTGCAGGAAGAGGCATTGGCAGGAAAAGGTGCTAAACACTAATGGGAGTCTGACAAGCAATCCCGAGGTAGTAACCGGAAACCCTCGCACAGCATCGATCCGGGCTACGTTAAGAAAAGCTGTACACCACTTAACCCCCTTGAATAGTCTTAAGCCCCGATGGATTCTGGGTATTTACCAGGCTACATTGTGAGAACTGGGAGGGGAAGGGAACCCGGGAGAGACACAGCCACTTTTCTCCTGAGCATTCATCCTTGCTGTTATCAAGGGTTCTCATTTTCCCATCCGTTCTAAAGATGACCCAAGGGTATAAATATCATCCGCTATTTCAAAATCAACAAGAATGTAGTTAACAATATTTTTTCCTCTTCTTTTGTTTCAGTGCTTGGGAAGGAATCCAGGACGTTGCTCCTGCTAAGCAACAGATAGCATGAGTGAGCTCCATGCCCAGACCTGGCTTTGAGTCAGTGTCCTACAGACCGTTTCACTGACAGGGATAAAGGTTAGCAGCTTTCCTAAGTTATCAGCGTTCCTACTGCACAGATAGGGTAGGGGACCTCAAGTACAGGGTCAGGCCGTGACCTAAACCCACACTATCCTGGACTTCTCGCTGGAACTCCCCTGGTTCATTGTCCTCATCTCTAACGACCGTAGTCAGGCTTCACCAAATGGATTCCAGCTTTATTCTGTTGACATAAAAGTTACATACCACTAAATTCACTCTTCTGCGAGCTCAGTGGAGTGGAGGGAAAGCCAAGGAGAAACCCGTTTCCATGGCCAATTTTCAGACAAACACAAAATGCCTCAGGTTAGAAAACATGGAAGTTGACCCACTGTTACTGTTTGAAGTGTCTGAAGATGGATGCAGAAAGCCATGAGCCAAGGATGGAAGACTAGTGGACACCAGCTGGGAGTCAGAAGAGTTCCTGACTGACACAGCAGAAATCAACTGCAGCCAGCAACCTTCATAAGCAAGCAGCGTCTCCGGGAAACACTCAGCCCTCCCTGTCAGTGTCCTGTTGTGTGCTCATCCTTGGAGCTGTAAGATGATACATGATGCGTTTCAGCCTACAATGTAAAGCAAATTTCCAAGAGAGGACACAGAAAATTAGAACTGAAACATAGAGATGAAAATGACAAGAAGATCCAAGAGGTTGGACCGAAGAATATCCGAGAGAGAGAGAGAGAGAGAGAGAGAGAGAGAGAGAGAGAGAGAGAGTGTGTTTAAGGAGCAGAGACGAAGGAGGCCCAGAGAGGAAAATCTTCAGTAAGATCATTCAGTGAGATTCCCCCACCAGAGGACAGAATGCCCGCATGGAGAGCTTTCACCCAGGACCCAGAGGTACACACCTATGGAGCTCAGATTGACGGGGACAAAGATCCCACGGGGCTAGGGATGCGAGAGGAGTCACACTGACAATAAGAGGGATAGAGTTCGGTTACCAACGCATGCCAACCTGGCTCTTGATAAACGGAGATAAACGATAGAGAGTTCAAAGTTATCTTTAGCTACACAGTGAGTTCGAGACCAGCCTGAAGTACATGAGACCCAAAATAAAGATGTAAGGGGAGGAATAAGACAAAGCCATGCACATCTGTAATTCCAGCTTTTGAGAATTTAAGCCGAAGAACGACCTCAAGTTCAAGGCCAGCCTGAGCTGCATAGCAAGGCCCCCATCTCAAGACACCATGAAAAGAACAAAAACAGACTACCAGTAATTCTAGATTTCCAAACAAGAAGCTTCCACCTCAATCCACTACTGAAAAGTGATGCCCCGTGTTTTCTCCTATGGCCAAGGGTGAGTGATGGTGACCAAGTCCATCGAGGAGTTTTCCTCGTTCAGAAGGAAACTGAGGGTAGCTCCTGTGGTACTAGGGGCAGTGCCAGTAGTGCAGGCCTCTTACCAGAAGTTTGAGAAGGATATAAAAGTAGAATGGAGCTACATGGGAAGAAGGGTCGTCTTATGCATATTATACCATAAAAGTGCTCGCTGATATTTACCCTTTATTCCCTTTTAGTTCATCTTTTTGGTTTGGTTTGGTTTTAGTTTTTGGTTTTCCAGATAGAGTTTCTCTATGTAGCCCTGGCTGCCCTGGAACTCACTCTATAGACCAGGCTGGCCTAGAGCTCACAGAGACCCACCTGCATCTGCCTCCCTAGCGCTGGGGTTAAAGTCCTACTTTATTCATCATTGTAATTAGTACTTGGCTATTTCAAAGGAAGAGGAAAAAAAATGGTGGAAACATTTGAAAGATGTTAAATGCTGTGAAGTCTCATAGTTAGCCATGTTTTTCTGCAGGCAGCTTTTGCTGTCAGTAAGGGAATTTCTAAGTACCCCTTACAATGTGTGTGCGTG